TGTTATGTTCACCCTTTACCTTACTTTATGGATATAACTTAAGTAGCTGGATCTGTATTGTTGTGATTTGTATTATTGTTATGTTCACCCTTTACCTTACTTTATGGATATAACTTAAGTAGCTGGATCTGTATTGTTGTGATTTGTATTATTGTTATTTTCACCCTTTACCTTACTTTATGGGTATAACTCAAGTAGCTGGATCTGTATTGTTGTGATCTGTATTATTGTTATTTTCACCCTTTACCTTACTTTATGGATATAACTTAAGTAGCAAACTTTCTTACAGTGTCTGGATTATTTTTTAAATTGTGATTTGTCTCCTGCTATCCTATTGGACAAAGGCAAATCTAAAAAATGAGACAAGGTTTCATATAGTGGTTGATTGTATGTCTATTGTTTATAAAGGAATTTTACTCACACAGTGATTCAATATTTACGTAGGAATTCCAATAATAAGCCACATTGATGCTACTAATTTAATCTTGTGATATGTTCAACCAGACAAGCTGTTTAAAATACTAACACAGACAAAGTAATCCTGAATAATTTATAAAGGATTAATGTGGGAGGGAAAAACATTATAAGGTTTCAGTATAAAGTACATTTTAATTATTTAGCCCTTACATGTATATGAAAAGACAGTCCAGAGTTGAGGTTTTGAATAACTTATCTTATCACTTCATTTGGATTTTTTTTATTGCAAAACTTTGAAGTTCCAAAAACCTTAGTTTCGTTGTAAATGTAACTTAACCAAACTGCACACATTTTTTATGTTAAGAAGTGTTCGTATCACTAAAATACAAATGTTAAATTCAAAGTTTTGTTAGTGTTTAACAAAACTACTTCTACACTGCCATATTAATACAGATGCGTCCTGAAACGGCTGGAGCTCTCTCATTAAAACGCTGTATAAGTTACAACAAAGTGAAATAATTTTATGATTAGAATAAAGAATGCTAAAGAATTACTGCACCATTATCATCATTAATATTCATCGTTACAACTCGTGGTATCTTAGCAGCTTTCTTTTCTTTGCTGTTATTGAAAACTATCACTAAATATGTATTATAAGACATCTCACAGATTGCCAATTAAACTTCAGTTTGTGATATTTTTGGAAAACTGAGGAAAATAAAATTTGCTCTTTTTTTGGTTTACAAAATAAAAAAACTGAACTCACCCAAAATCAACTTCTGTTTCTTCAAATATCTCCATCAGTGTTACTAGTCGATGTAATCGATTATTAACCTGACCATCAATAATAAACTTAAACAGTCTATATTCATCACATTTTGTTAGTTAACTTAAAAATATGTAAGTATATAATGTACATGTAGTAAATACCAATGAAACCAAAGTTTCTCAGGTCAAAGGTTATAATCTGCTAGAAGATCTTTTAAATAAAACAAACTGTAATAATTTGAAAATACTGAAGATTAAACATCAGAACTTTAAAGATTATTTTGATAATGCTGCTTTTAATCGTCTTACACCAACAATAAACATTTAAACTTTATATTATAATATCAACGTGTTGTCAATCACGTAACGGGCTTAAAAGATTATGCTGTGTTTTTCACATTTCTACAACAATACTATACTATGAGCAATTATCAAAACTTAGAATCAAACCAAAGTAGTTAATTCATGACCAGACCAGAATTGAATCTAAATATGTATTACACTCATATCACATTAACTAGAATCATAAAACTTACACAACTTAATTAATACCCAAAGAATTACATTCATTTGTTTCGAATTCTGCATAAAGCTACTCGAGGGCTATATGCACTTCCCATCCATAGCTTAGCAGTCATATACTAGAGGGAAAGCACCTGGTCAACATCATCCACCACCAGCTCTTGGGCTATTCCTTTTCAAACGAATAGTTGGAGTGACCGTCACATTATAAAACTCCCATAGCTGAAAGGGCAAGCATGTTCAGTGATGGGAATTCGAACCTGTGACCCGCAGGTTGTTAATTCAGCACCCTAACCACCAGGCCAGAAATACTTTATTTGCTAATTAAAATTTATTTGAAAGAACTTTTTTACAAGAGATGTAACTAAACTGAATATTATTAATAATGCAATTTAATAATACTTTTTACTGAATTAAAATAATAAATCTCACAAGAATGATAATTGGCTCACAAAATAATAATACATCATTCATTCTAACAACATTTTCTCTCAAAGAATTTAAACAGCACAGAAGTTCTACATCAAGGGTTGCCATAAGATTCACCCAAGTTTTTTTATTACATTTATTTTGTTAAATCGGTTGTACATAGTACAACTTTTGTATATTTTGTTCTTAACATTTCACCAAGTTTACCAGGCATCCTCAATTGAGATACAAAATCTGGGGCTAACAGAATTTAACTTTAAAAAAAAATCACTTGAGCATCTATAATTCTAATCTACAAGTATATGATAAAGTAATTGCGAATAGCTCTACCACATGGCAGACAATACTGGAAAAATAGCTCTACCACATGGCAGACAATACTGGAAGAATAGCTCTACCACATGGCAGACAATACTGGAAGAATAGCTCTACCACATGGCAGACAATACTGGAAAAATAGCTCTACCACATGGCAGACAATACTGGAAGAATAGCTCTACCACATGGCAGACAATACTGGAAGAATAGCTCTACCACATGGCAGACAATACTGGAAGAATAGCTCTACCACATGGCAGACAATACTGGAAGAATAGCTCTACCACATGGCAGACAATACTGGAAGAATAACTCTACCACATGGCAGACAATACTGGAAGAATAACTCTACCACATGGCAGACAAAACTGGAAGAATAGCTCTATCACATGGCAGACAAAACTGGAATTTTCAATCTAAATGGCACTGTATGAAACACATGGGCTAAAGAGCAAATTCAAACACCTATAGTTCAGGTCTGTCCAGACTAATTTTGGGCTACTGATGAAAGGAAGGGAGCTGCACCTGCTGTCACAAGGGTTTTGTCCAGTTCTTTAAGAAGAATAGTGGGACTAACTGTCACTTTTATAACATGCTCATTTTTAGAAATGTATGATGAGTGACATCATGGTTCGAACCTTGGCACACCAATCACTAGACAACACTCAGCCCACCAAATGAAATAGTTTCAAGTGTCACTCTTGCCAATCTTTCTCACAGTTCATGACTGCTGTTCTATGTTCTAAGACACTGTTAAGCATTTTGTCACTCAGTAACATTCACTTAGGAGAAAAGCTGCGAAATTATTCAAAAGAACAATATATAATACTCAAAGATTAAATGAATCAAAAATAGAAACAATGGCAAACACTTACCAAACTTATTAAAATACACTGGTCTTCACATTTCTTACAATCTTCAAGCTAAAAAATATATAACACTCAGTTTTAATACTTTCTTAGTGTTGTTCCTGAACTACTACAAGATGGTTGTTCATATTGTGTTAGTGAGAACTTTTAAATTTTGTTTTTTCATCTGTCCTTTTTACAAGCTGGCAAAACTATGTTAGGATAGTTAAACTCTATCGTGTTTACACCAAGAGACCTTCTGTTGCAGTTTACTCAACACGCATTAACATATTCTACTCTATCGTGTTTACAAAAAGAGACCTTCTGTTGAAGTTTACTTAACACAAGTTGAAACATTCTATATACAATACAAGTTTACAAACCTTTAAAGATTTGTCCAACAGACATATTTGGCGATTAAATTATTTACTACAGTCACATTTTTCTGTTTTTATAAACTCAATTTCTTGAATTTAGAATTAATCTAATAAGTTGAAATTAAAGAAGTAAAACATATATTTGTATGTACAGCATTTCATGTTAACAATCCCTCTTACTTTGTGGGTATATAGTGCACTTCATTCAATTACAATTTATCTTTTAAAACCATTTCAACTGTTTAAGCTATAATAATAGTACTGTGAACATCAATTTTTTTCACCATTAAATCTACTAAAGAAAGACGACTTTATATCAATTAATTTGTAGTTAAGCACAAAGCTAAAGAACAAGCTATCTGTGTGCTGCCAACAACAGGTATAGAAACCCAGTTTTTAGCCTCAAAGCCTACAGACTTACAGCTGTCCCACTAGGGGGTGAATATATTAATTATATATTACATCGTTCTAATGAAAAACATTAAAAAACAGATGTTATGAAACAGTTAAATGACAGTCTTGAAGATCTCAATCAAACAATCAAAGGTTATTATATCTGTAACATGTTGCAAGTTTTGCAGCAAAATCTGTTAATAAGACACCTAGAGAAAAATACTGAGAAACAAACAAACAAAAAACTTGTTTCATTACTTCTGTGTCACAAATAGCGTAACCACAAATAACAGTTATGCTAAGAACAAAATAAAATGACATATTTTGAGGAACAAAATTTAATTATTATATGTATCAAATTTTTATTCATGATGTAAGTTAATTCCATTTGTTCCATCTACAGGGGGAAGGACTCTCACAGCAGGCAAGTTCTATATCAACTGAAGTAAAGAGTTAACTTTTTAATTCCATTTTTTCCATCTAAAGGGGGAAGGACTCTCACAGCAGGCAAGTTCTATATCAACTGAAGTAAAGAATTAACTTTTTAATAACTCGACCTACCACAGCTATATTACACATTTTTCAAAACTTAACGCTATCTTGTGCTTATGATTAAAATCTAATTTACGTTTGATTAAGTTACACAAGATTAAAAACAACAGAAGAACAATGACATATAAATGTGTTTACATTCTAATACTTATTACTAACTAAGACATACTCTTTTCTGAGCAAAGTTGAGTAAAAAGTAAACTCCGTGATAACTTGAAGGTGCTGCTTGCAAGCAACATTCTGCAACGAAATGATCATCCTGGAAAAGAAAAACTTGCTTAGTTGTAAATTTCATCAAATTTTCAAAATTATACTTTTTGAAATTAAAATCAAATTAGAAGTACCCAAGAAAAGAGATCCAAATGATCATGTGTCCTGAAACGTTTCAATCTATTTTTGTCTTCCACTGTTGTTACTACCTGGTACATGTCTCGTGTCCAAAACAAAATTTTCCTCCACAGTCCTTACTGGTTTATTTACCTCCAATTTTGAACTTATTGAAATTAACCCTTTTATCTCTTTTCAACATTTAACAACCTTATAATGTTCAAATTATTTTGACCCTAGTCATCTTCAATTTTAAATGCCTTATTTAAAAATTTTCTTTTCAAGTTTTTGTGAAACCAGATGTAGGCCTATTGATAAGTTTCATGCCAATAATATATCTAACTTTTATAAATTTATTTATATTGTTGGGTAGGTTCTTTTTGGATTACTTGATAAAAAGAAGAATACAAAATACAGTCCACTTAATTACAACAAAAGAGTTTTATTTTTAGAACTACAAGTTCCACAAGTACAACTTTACAAGTTCCACATAATTAACAAGTCTAACTTCACAAGTATACAACACCTCAGTTGAGATTTAACAGTAGTTCAAGCCAACAGTTAGTGTTTCTTTGTTCCCTAATTAAGGTATTTATTTATTTATTGTTATTTTCATTAACAGTATTGGTTAGACTTTAATATATCAAATGTTTTTACTTTTAGTTTTATTATTATACATTCATTATAGAGATTGTTAGCTTAGTATAAGTATTTAGGACTAATCTACTCTCCTAAGCTGGCCAAACCTCATGAGATATTATTGGAATTACAGTTGAAAATATTATTAACAGCAATGGTGTCAAACTGATGAAACAACACATTATAATCTTTATAAGCATTAACGTAAGTATAGCATATTTAATTAGCCATACTGACTAAAAAGCTAATTTTTAGTATTGCTCTAATTAAGTAGTTTGTCCTGATCAGAAGTTAACTAATTAAGTAGCTTGTCCTGATCAGAAGTTATCTAATTAAGTGGCTTGTCCTGATCAGAAGTTAACTAATTAAGTGGCTTGCTCTGATCAGAAGTTAACTAATTAAGTGGCTTGCTCTGATCAGAAGTTAACTAATTAAGTGGCTTGCTCTGATCAGAAGTTATCTTATTAAGTGGCTTGCTCTGATCAGAAGTTAACATTTTTTTAGTCCATACTGCTACTTGATGTAACTAGAGCTGTCACTAGGTATTTATCATCCACTACCTCCATCTAAATACAACAGGAAGTTAAAAAAAATGAGGGGTCCCTCTAAAAAATTGCACTTTCAATAAAATATAGTTTTAATTTTATGGCTGTATAATTTTTTCCTTTAGATATAACTTTAATACAGTACTGCTTGATGTTTTTCAAATTCTAGAAAATACTTGTTTTTTTAAAAAAAGTCTGAATCTACTTATGGTTACAACACTAAAATACACTGCACAGCACACACACATCACATGTTACACATATGATACTTGCCATACAATAAGTATACATTCTAAAGTTATAGTTGGCAACTTTACAATGTAACTGTTTCTGTAAAGTGATAGTTAGAATGAATATCCTCTTGGTATTCACCATTGTGTCGACTAACCTAACAATTATAGTTTTTGTGTGTAGCTGTTATTTTCACATCTGCTCTTGGTAACACCAATTGGTTCAATTTTCCAGATGGTGTATCAGACACAAGCTACATTTCTTTTGGATAGACTGTCACCATGGATACCAGCAAGGTTTAAACAACAAGACACAGAGGATGTTTTAAAAGAAGTCACAGAATTGCTATCTAAATGCACGGTGGGAATAGCTTTATCATATTATCTGTTTTACTCATTAGAAAGTAAAAATAATTGTGTTTGTTCAAGAAGTGATTAAATGTTGGTCTTGCAGTATTTTTATATTAACACAAGATGTTATTTCAACAGCTTCTCTTTAAGTGAGGAAAGTATAGAAATGATATTTTTTTTTTCCACTGAAAATATTTACGTCTAAGTTTATAATTGCTTATATGGATTGGTTTTAGAATATTAGATTTGGGGATACAGTTGACCTGTCCTTTAAGCATACACGACCTGTCGAGATTCTAGAATTGTAGTCCTCTATGTTTGTTTTGACTCATTTAGATAATATCTAACCCACCCCCCCTATAAGTTTTTAATTACATATAGCTTTGTAAGTACACAAAAATTCTAACTGTTACTGATGATTCCTGTAAGGCCAGGCATGGCCTAATGGTTGACATGCCCAGAATGTGAATCCAAGGGTTCACGGTTTGTGTTCTGTTGACACAAAAGCAAGCTATACCCTGTTGGGCTATGGATGTCATCTAAGAGTGACAGTTAAATCTCACTATTTGATGAGATAATAGTAGCCTAAAATTTAGCAATGAGTGCTATTAACCAGTTGCTTTTCCTTTAATCTGTCAGTTTAAATGTAGTGACAACTATGTGAAGATAACACTTGTATATTATTGCTCAAACAAACAGACAAAGTTATAAACAAGTAATGTATTCTATAAACTTAAAATTTCTTCAGAATATTAAATCTACACAGAAACATACTTAATATAGTAAGATAGGATTTTAAACTTTAAAAACTCGGGATTAAAACATTAACTTATTCCCAAGCGAAGAAGGAATAGTTGGTAATCCAGATCACCAGTTGAAATTAGGGATGGTTTATTTCCCCATGATTGTTATCTGTCTAAGCTTTTGAAGAATTAATTTATTTTGTTATAGAATCATGATCGCATAATACAAACATTTTTATTCGCATTCAAGAATCTGTGACACAACTAGTTGAGAGTTAGTTTAAAGTCATTTTTGTTATGTAAAATTAAATGGTTGTGAAACTCTAGACAAAAATTTAAATATGAATGCTGACTATGTTCTTTACTGTGATCAGTTGTTACAAGTACTTATGAAATGTCTGGTATGAATGGATTGCTATATGTTCTTGATTACTGAAAGGACTTATTAAAACTGAAAAACCTTTCATTTGTGTTGATGTATTTCACCAAGAATGAAATAAGAAAAATCTTTATATTTTAACTTTCATTTATGCCTGTGAGAATAGAAATTTAGAGTGATTTAATTCTACATCTGAGTTCATTCACTTGTAAATCAAGGGTTCACTCACCTGTAAATCAAGGTCCCATTTTCTAGCAAAATCTAAAGCTTCTTCAAATTTTCGTTTGTTGATAAGCTTTGTTAATCTAGAAAGAAAGTTATCACAGGAAAAACCTTATAAAAATTAAACCAAATAATTACATTCACACTGACAGGTTCAAAATAAACTTTCTTTCTTGTCAGTTTGTTACACAATACATGTTCAGTTAAGAATTAAAATGTCACTAAATGAAAGAAATAAATTTACATGACAGATTCAAGATAAGTTCCTTCCTTGTCAGTTTGTTACACAACACATTTTCAGTATGTTTTCAAACTTTGAAACTCTTTGTTAAAACTATAAAATTACATTATGTGTTAACATCTAAATACTGCTAAAAAACTAGGAATGTTTAGAATAACATAAGATCTAAAAAACTACTGCTAGCCAAAGTAATCCCAACATGAAAGATTTTACCGAGTTTCTGGTGATGCTTCACATACGGCTCGAACTCTGAGTGAAGATATACCATCACCCAAGTCCCTGAAAAAGTTATTAATGAAACAATTTCACATCCTTTACACAAAAAAATTAAATCTACTGTAGTAGTTTTATTTCATGCAAGTCTGTTTCCAAAGACATTGAATGATTCAAGTCTGTTTACAAATACAGTGAATGATTCAAGTCTGTTTACAAATACAGTGAATGATTCAAGTCTGTTTCCAAAGACAGTGAATGATGCAAGTCTGTTTCCAAAGACAGTGAATGATGCAAGTCTGTTTACAAATACAGTGAATGATGCAAGTCTGTTTACAAAGACAGTGAATGATGCAAGTCTGTTTCCAAAGACAGTGAATGATGCAAGTCTGTTTCCAAAGACATTGAATGATTCAAGTCTGTTTCCAAAGACATTGAATGATTCAAGTCT